TATTACAGGATTACTCAAATTGGGTAGGATTCCAACTCACATGAAACCTCAGAAAGGAGGAAATTTTTTAAACTTCCTCTCGGCAGCAGTCCCTAACATACCCCTACCGGGCATAGGCTCAGGTTTGACTCTCAAAGAAGCGACCAAGTTAGCCATGGGGCCACAAAAAGGTCGAGGATTTGTCAAAGATCTACTCCAACATGGGAAAAAACAAGCCATCATGGCCGGAGTGAAGATAGGCAGAGATGTGGTGGGAAAAAGAAAAAACATCCGAAATGCTCTTTTAACTCACGGACTCAATGCGGCTAAAAATACAGGTCTATTTGCTTTCAATCGAGGAGTCTCTTTACCCTTTAGAAAGAAGAAGAAGAAAAAAGGACAAACAGGTCAAGGAAGAAGAAGAAGAAAAAGAAGAAAGCAGACAGGGAGAGGGAGAATCCTGTTAGCCCGAGGTGGTCCTAAAAGAAAAAGGAAAAAACAAGGAGGAATTCCTAAAAGAAAACGTCATTTAGATGTGTTTGACTGAGAGAGAGAGAGTATAAATAGACCAGTCCAGGGAACAGAAGGTTCATTTGTGAAAACTGAATCCTAGTAGACACATCATGTTACAGCCCGATTCCTGTGCGTGTGGGATGAACAATTTACAATTGTTTCAAGTCCCTCCGACTAATATTGCTTTAGAAGACTCGAAATGGGAAGAATATTACCCCATTTCCAGTACTTTAGATTCCGACACCGCTCCCATCGAATTTGAAATCAAAGGACAAGGAGATCACTAGCTGGATTTATCTCAAACTTATGTTCAAATAGTATGTAAATTTACCAAAGACGATGGAAGTAATCTGACTGGGGCGAACAGCACTTCGAGTCCCGTGAATAATATCTTACATTCCATGTTTACGGAAATCGATGTCAGTCTGAATGGAAAAATAGTGACTGGTTAGGCTAGACTGAGCTTTTGACTGTGAAGCGTGACGTCATAATCTTGAATCGGTGCCAAGTATTTACCTATGTAGTCAGCATAAAAAAAAACGTAGGTAAAACGCATGTTTTGCACACGGCCCTTATCTTTCAAGGTGAGGGGGTATAAAAACAAGGTGTTAAAGACGATCCTCCTCAGTTGGTGGGGCATGTGGTTGAGTAAACGACAGTTTGGCAAACGAATTCCTAGAATATTAGAAGACATGGAGATGGATAAAGATAAATTTGCCTTATTAGAAAAGAGAATGACGGAACCTATGGAGGGGGATCACGAAGCTCCTCAAACAAAAAGAAGAATAGAGTTGAAAACCCTGGATCCGGAACCTAAGAATGAATATATACCCCTGCATGAGCCTATCAATGATCCTAAATGTCCAGACAGATTTTACAGGACAGCCATTAATTGGACTTTCACCATTAAAGAGCCTAAAGAAGAAGAAGATATAGACATGTTTCTGAGCAACCAAGATGATTTCTTCTTCGGTTTCCAGTATTTGATTATACAAAAGGAAAGACATCCCTGGACAGGAGAACTGCATCAAATCAGGGGATTCATTCAAATGAAGGAACCAGAAGGAGGACTGACTATGTGCAGACTTCATATCACTGCTGATTTTGCCATGTCTCACAGTACCCCAGAATTGGAAAGTATGTTTTACAAACAAGGAGGTGACTATGAAGAATATGGGGTTCTGAAACCTGAGGAGAGAAATAAGGAATTGGAGCCCAGAGATTGGATAGAATGGGAGATAGGAGCTTGGAAGAAACCTGAAGCTATTGAAGCCAGAGAAGCTAGGAAGAAAAAGTTCTTAAAGAATGTGAGCTGGTCAAGATGTGAATAAATAAAAAAAAAAGATTTGAACTGTTATTTATTGTTAGATCTCAATAAAAAAGAAAAGAAAAAAAAAATTGTGGGTTTTTTGTCATTTTTAAAAAAAAAAAAAAAATAGGTTATCTCCCTTTAACCATAGATTTTTTTTTTTCAAAACACCAAAACAAAAAATGGTAAGGGGTTTTTAAAGATTGGTAAAAATAAATACAATTTTAAAAAAGGTATAAATAGTAAACATGGTATAAAACACACCTCAGTTGTGGACTGGCTTCATTATGGGTAACACCTCCAGTAAAGAAATGAGTCAGAACACTAGATTAAAGGAAACTGAATGGTTACTTATACAGGAGGGAGGAAAAGATATCATACCACCTCCCTTGATGGTAGAACATCCTGCAGTATTTATACCACCTCCCTTGATGGAAGAACATCCTGTAGAATATAAACCTCAGGAGGAGGAGGAGGAAAAAGAAAACATAAGACCAAACAAACTCTTGGAGGATATTAAGGCTCATTATCAAAATAAACAGAAAGAAAATACAGGCAATGGATATATTGCTTACTTAAAACAAGACAGAGGTAGAATAGCCAATAACTGGATATTTAATTTAACTGGGTGCCGACAGGAAGATGTAGATCAAATCATTGGAAGTGATTATCAATACTTGATCTTACAAAAAGAAAGGCATCCAGAAACTGGACAACTTCATCATGTGAGAGGATTCATTCAAATGAAAAACAGAGTTCAAGGGAGATACATGTACAGAAAGATTCATAAATTAACCTGTTTTGAGATGTCTTACAGCACCCCAGAATTGGAAAGAACTTTTTATAGACAAGGTGACTATGAAGAATATGGAGTTCTAAAACCTGATGTGAGAAACAGAGAATTAGTTCCAAGAGATTGTAGATTTACCTGAATAAAAAACTTGTTTTTTTTTTTTTTTTAAAAATTCTTGTTGTTGTTCTATAAAAACAAGGGTGTTTTTAAAAAATAGATTCATTTTACATCATGAGTCTCCAGGAGATACAAGGTGATTTACTCAACTGTGAGGTAGAAGCTATTGTTCATCAATGTAATTGTTTAACTGTAAAAGCTCATGGATTGAGTCAAAGTATTGCAGAGAAATTCCCACAAGCCAATCTCTATGCCACTCGCAGACCTCTAGGGACTAGAAATTTAGCCGTAGAAGAAGATAGAGGAATTCCAGGCACTATTAAGGTGTTTCCCTCACAAACTCCTGTGGTCATTTGTTTACTAGCTCAATGGGATTATGGAAAACCAAGTCACCGACCTAAAAGAATTTCCACTTATCAGGATACCCCACAAAACAGAGAGCAATGGTTTCAAGCCTGTTTACAAGAAATGGGGGAAAGTTTACCTTACCAGACTTATGCTTTTCCTTACAAGATTGGGTGTGGACTAGCCCAAGGAAATTGGATTCATTATAGACATTATATTGAACAATTTGTACACACTTATGAAAAACATGTGTACATTCTTCATCATCATCATTAATTGTGTTTTCATGTGATGTAAAATAAAGAAGAAAAAAAAAGTACCTTTTTTATCTGTCATACTCTAATGTCTGTTTTAAACAGGAGATGAAGGTCCACCGCAATCCCCCATGCACTCATAAGCAGATCTCTGGTGGGGGTCAGTAGAAACACTCAAGTAGTTTTTCTTTTCCCCTGTGATATAATGTCAAATATTTTAATGGAAAATTCAGAAATTTATTAGCACTTAAAGATAAAAAACTTGCTATCTTTATAGTATTGATTTCCATTATCAGATTTTATTTTTTATCCATTTTAAAAATATAAACATTTAAAATAATTATCTTAATAATAATAATGAAATAAATTAAAATGATATCTCATTGAAACTTTTTTTTTTAGATTCAAGTTTTGTTTTTTGTTTTTATGTTAGTTATTTCACTGTATATTTCCCAAAGGAAGACCAACAGCCAGGCTTCACTTCATAGAGAATGGATTGGGTTAGGAACAAAACATATCTTCCAGGTTTGAGGACTGTATAGAAAATTAAAACCCATTTTGTTATTATGATTTAAATTACATGAGACAATGTCTCTTATAAATGTAATACAAAAATAATATCTCTTATATATATGGATTCCTATACTCTAATCATATTAAATGTCATTTGTAAAATGTATTATTTTTAAAGACAGATTTTATTTAGGATTGACTTTTTAAATGATGACATGAATAGCAGGCCATACTTTAAGCACATGACAAAAACATTTTCTCAAATTACACAGAAATGGGCTATTTAGCATAGCTGACATTAAACATATAGGTGAGGGATAACATAATCACAGTTATAAACAATGTGAAACAACTTTAAACGACCTACAAGGTAGATTACAAGCCTTTTTCACTGGGGTAAAATCTTGCGGAGATTCGACAACATGAATAGACCGTTTCACGATAACTTCCGCGCATGCGTATAACTACTTCCGCAGGGCAACTTGTTTACATAGGTTACGCTGACTACTACGACATGGTAGTAACTTGATGGAAATAAAAGGATTCTTATATGAAAGTGTGTTTGTTTTCTGTTTTCCTAACATATTTAGACCTTTCTTGTGTTGATTATGCATAAATAAACATAATATTTAGATAGAAATATGAAATAAAATCGAGAACCGAGTTTAGTACACAAAGGGGGCACTTCCGTGTTGATCAATACGACGATGGCTTCCCGGGAGAATTTGAATGACCAGAACAGGAAAAGAAGGGGGTCTCTCGCTGAAATACCAACTAAGTTTCAGACACTGGCATTGGTGGGTACTGTGCCCGAGATTTCTGGACATGAAAACCTCCCCCCTCTACAGTCTGCGTCGTTTTCCCCTGCCACGCCCACCTTCCTACCCAAAATATCTTTTCAACAGATCTACCATCATATGATTTTAAGACAAACAACAGAAGGGAGACAGGTGAAGAATTTCAAGGGTTTAGATAGGGCAGTCAAGCATTTTGAGGCTGGAGACATATCACATATAATGACAGCTCAGGTATGATGGTTTAATAGGCATTAAAAAAAGCATACTAGTATGTTTGTGTATACTAGTATTTAAACCATCCTTTTTTAACATTTCAACTATGCCTATATAAATTTTTTTTCAGTTTATTTTTGACCTTTCATATGAAATTCTACAATGAATATATAACATATTGAACTGTTTACTTAATGGAAATATTGATTACTATAAGAATGAAAATGATGAGCGAAGACGGACTATGATGAAGAGAATAAACCCTTATTTAGATAAATGGTAACTTTCTATCTAAAAGTTCTTATCTCAGATGTTTAACATTTATAAATTCAACTTAGATTGACGAGTCCCTGGACTACATCAGGGCTGACTGCTTAGCTTCCATGAAAAAATTGAAGTACAAAGTTTTTCTCTGTGTTGAGGATAGGACTACAGTTCAGTATGCCTATTGTGAATGTCCCATTGGGTACGCATAATTGTAGAAACTAACATGAAAAATACAAAGTTAAAGAAATAAAAAAATTGATAACTTCCTAAATCACAAACAAATTCTACATATATTTTTTTGATGTAGTCTAGCCCAAACATGCAGCCACATTGGAGGACTGTTGTTTTATTTACACCATATGCATCTCACAGAGGTGCTAAAGGCAGACAGTGCAACCTCAAGGCCATGTCAGTGGAACGTCCCTCGTCCACTGAAGATGGACCCCATGCCCTTGAGGGAATGGAATCTCGGGCGACCGAAATTGACAACAGAGGGGGAACTGGAGTACCATGAGAGGAAACAATTAGACTTTGATCCTCGGCATCCTGAAGAGAGAGACTTTGATTCCACACATGCCATGGAACATTTGATGATGTTAAAAAAAATATTTCCCAAAACTGGTATAAAAGAAGTATTCATCGTTCATTTTAATGTATAGAAAACAATACATAATTCATGTTAGATAAGACTAAATATCGGTTCAGTTTAAGATTTATTTTCAAAATCTTGATAAATCAATTTACTAATTTCGAAAGGAAAATGTGAACTCACTGGTAGAAACAAAAGTGTTAAACATGTTTATCAACGTGTAGGCATAAGAACAGCTGATTAAAATTTAAAAGGCAATGTTTGTAATTTTGCTTTACAAAAAAATGCAATGTACATGTATATTACAGTCTATACACACAAAAACCACAAAAAAGAATTAATACAAATATTCAGCTTTACAAAACATCAAAATTTTCATTCTAGGCATGAGTCACTTATGGACCATTCCAGATGAGACACCTAATCCATCTGAGGAAATTGAAGTCAAGACAACAGAGGATCCCCTGGAGACATCAATGAAAAGTCTTGTCTTGTCTGAGGAGAACTGTAAGTGAAAAAGTTTTTTGTAAATCTATGGTATAAATTGATAATAATCTTTATCTAAAAGCAAAAACATTATTGTTACAGTGCCCATTCCAGTTTCTATTGAAGAAAGCCTAAGTGCCTACATTGAGAAGAGAACAAGAGGCCAAAGAACATGTGATATTTGGAGGGATCTGCAGAGAGGAAGAATAACCAGTTCATTATTTGGTCTAGTTCTGAAATCTGGAAAAAATCCACAAAGCCTAGTGAAGCAGATTATTAATGGATCAAGTTTAGACAGGTAAAAGATTAGAATATGTTTAAAATCTTAAAAAACTATAATAATCCCTACATTTTTAGTCTGCATTGAATCAAGTAGCATAGCACATCAACAACAATATTTCAGGTACCAGACACTACCTTCCCCAGTCAAGTGGGGTGTGGAAAATGAGCAAAATGCCCTTAAAGATTACTTGGCCCTCCAAAATGCCATAACCAATCTCAGAGTAGAGGGGTCTGGACTCACCATATATCCATCCCATGCATTTCTGGGAGCAACCAGTGATGGATGGGTATATGATGAGTCCATGCCAGAGGGAAATGAAAGAGGAGTTCTGGAAATTAAATGCCCTTACTCTATCAACAGTGAAGTCATTACTGACAAAGAGGTATGTACATGTTCACTTTATTAGTTGTCTTAGTTAGCAGTCATACTTTTTTTAGCAACTTTGTATTGGGATACATATAACAGGTGCATGAACTGGTTGGAAGAGAAGGTTTTTTCTTAGAAGACACTGATGAAGGACCCAGACTGAGAAGAGATCACAAGCATTATGCCCAAATACAAGGGGAGATGGCCATCATGGGCTGTACGTGGGGTGACTTTGTTGTATGGACTGCAGCTAGGCAGAGCAACTGTTTTATAGAGAGGATATATTTTGATTCAGATTTCTGTTCTTTGATGATGCCTAAACTTGTCGAGTTTTTTGTTTCACGCATATCATCTTCATACCTTAAAATGTAAATGTTCTTCAATAAAGAAATTAGCCATCGTTTTTAAACATTTATAGGAATATTGATATGGGTAGGTCAAATTC